ATGGCTCTTTTCCTGCAATCAAGGCCAAAGCATCATCAGGAAGGACTCTTTTCATTCAATCCCAGTCCCACTTACCTTCTTCTGTGGTCCAATCCGCCACTGATGATTCTCTATCTCTGTCAGAAAGGTCTGAAGTCAGATAGTTATCCAGGATGACACCACATTTCAGCCACGGATGAGACCAGAAACTGGTTGTTTCCCCGTTTCTGATGCTCCAGCAACAACCACTCTTCATCAGAGGCATTGTCTTGATAATGCCTCTCCATAGGCTTGAGTGATTATTCTTTTTCATTCCCACAATGGCCCCATCTTTGTTCTTGAAGTATTTACCCTGAAGAACTTTAACCCAAGGCATATCACCATGGTTTAAAATTTGCCACGCAAGCTTGAACATAAAGGCTCTATTCATACATCTAGCAGACCTCAGACCCAAACCCCCCTGATTTTAGTTTTACATATTGTTTCCCAAGAGATCAGGTGGGATTTCCTGCCTCCAACATGGGATCCCCAAATGAAGCCTCAGATCTTTCTATCAATTGCATCACAAACAGTGGCAGGTAAGACAAATGATTGCATAGCATAACTAGGGAGCGCATTCAACACAGATGTGGCAAGGGTGACCCTCCCAGCAATTGAGAGGGTTCTGGCTTTCCACATGGTCGGTTTATTATCCATTTTCTCAAGGATGAACCTGTAGATATTGTTGTTCAGTCTACCATGCAAGACAAGAACCCCTAAGTATATACCTAGGTCATTAGTGGATTGAATCCCAAGTTTAGTACAGACCTCAGTCCTGGTTTTTTTTCTGGACGTTTTTAGAGAATAAAACTCTGGATTTGTCTTTACTAATCATTTCTCCAGAGGCTTGAAAGAATCTGTTCAGGCAAGACATGACCACATCATCCTGCTTCGGGCTAGCCTCAGCAAAAAGCACAAGGACGTCCGCGAAGAACAGGTGAGACAGGTCAGGTCCATTAGGAGAAAGCCTCATAGGTTTCCATTCTTTAATCCTAACCTCTTCTACAATAGGTCTGCTAATTGATCCTCGGTGCCTATGTATCCAATGTAATAAGTCCAGATTGCAATCTTTCACGGATTACATGACAATCCACTTCTATATGCTTAGTTCTTTCGTGAAAGACTATATTTTGTACAATATAAATAACAGATTGATTATCACAGAATACCTGAACACTTTGTTGATGTGGTACTCTGTAGAATCTGAGTAGTGAATGTAACCATTGAAGTAGTGAACGTAACCATTGAATCTCACACGAGAGTTGTGCCAATGCTCTGTACTCAGTTTCTGAGGATGATCTAGATACTGTATTTTGTTTCTTGCTTTTCGAACTGGTAAGAGAATCCCCAAGGAATGTGCAATAACCAGTGACTGATTTCCTTGTGTTTGGACACGTTGGCCCAGTCAGAGTCACAATACCCTTTAAGTTATAGATTAGTCTTTGCTGAGAATCAAAGACCCTGACTGGGACAACCTTTCAAGTACCTTAAAATTCTATGTAAACAATTTAGATGAATACTGGTAGGCTTACCTTGACACTGATAGAGTTGCTGTACAGGAAAAGTGATATATGGTCTTGTTGTTGTCAAGTACTGCAACTGTCCTAGCAGATATCTGTAACGTGAACCATCTGATAATGGTGTTCCATCAGTTGCTGAAAGCACTGTTTTCATGCTTATGGGAGTTTTGGCAGGTTTTCTTTCAAGAAAATCTACATAAGAAAGTAATTCCAAACAAAACTTCATTTGATATGATTAACTGAAATGCCTTCACTAGACCTGGCCACTTCTAATCCAAGGAAGTACTTCATGTTTCCCAGATCTTTGATCTTGAAACCTTTCTTCAAATGCAATTTCACCGGCTGAATTTCATCTAGATCAGGGCCTGCTAGAAGTATGTCATCAACATACACAATTACGACTACAGAAGGTGTCCTGAACACATAATAGTCTTCATATGATTGCTCAAATCCCAGACCCTTCAAGTATTCAGATAATTTAATAAACCACTGTTTGATTGCTTGTTTTAACCCATATAGGGATTTCCACAGCTTACAAACATTTTCCTTCATACTGGCGCTGCGGCTGCAGAAATGGTTGCCCCTGTCTGGGCTGGTAAGGTTGCTGCTGCGGAAATGGACCCTGCCTGGCCTGGAAAGGCTGCCTCTGCTGAAAACCACCTGCTAGTGCTTGGAAACCAGGTGGTTTAGTGGTGGTGTTGTTATTCCGGGATAAGTTGGGATGCTGTCGCCACCCTTCATTATATGTACCACTATAAGGATCAAGGCGCCGAGCATTGGCGATGAAATCCAACTACTCCTGGGGTGTAGAAGACTCCCGCATAGCCTGGCAATCTTCCACCAGATGGTTCGAGCTCTCACACCACTAATATTGAGCACTGGAGGCCCGACCAATCCTCTGCCCGGGAACTCCTGCTTCTGGTGCTCTTCCCCCAAGAGTGATCCCTGGCAGTCAGAGTGCTAAATCATCTGATTCAGCTCGGGTGGAGTCTTGGTAAGAATATCCCCTCCTGGGCATAGAGACTCGATCACCCTCTAGCTTTTTGGGGTCAGAGCGCTGTAGAAATTCCCCACTGTGAATGCATCACTGAAGCCGTGATGGGGAGATTTCCAGAAGAATCTCGAGTACCGCTCCCAGGCATCACGTAGGGACTCATCTGGCTCCTGACGGAAATGAGTGATCTCCCGCTGAATCTCCGTGGTCTTCGAGGCCGGATAATACCTGTGCACAAATTTGTCTGCCAAGTCATCCCACGATGTGATGGATAGTGGGGGCTGGGTCTCATCTAACCACCTCTTCGCATGCCCCGCCAGAGAATGGGGGAAAAGGTGGAGACGGATTGCATCATCGGGTACACCATTCATCTTGAATCCATTTGTCAGCTGCAGGAACCGGAAAGATGCACCCTTGCCTCCTCATCCTTCAAGCCATGGAACTGGATAGAGGATGTAATCAGTTGAATCCAGCACGACTTGATCTCAAAGTTGTTTGCTGGAATGGGCGGATATAGGATGAAAGGGCGGATATCAGCGACCCATGAAGTGTAGTAGTACTCAATGGTAGGACCCAGCGGGGGTGGTGGAAGACGAGCCGCATCTGCCTGGGGGACTGGGTTGTTCCCCAGGATCTGATTCACTGGGGTAACCTGGAGAGGCATCCCCTGGGGCGGGTTTTGCGCACCGTCCATCTCGTACTCCTCAGAATCGCTGCTCAAGTGGCCGTCGATACGCACTTCCTCCGTAGCCAGTCTCGCTCGTTGTTGTATCCTTAGTTGGCGACAGGTGCGTTCTAGATAGGATCTAACGGTAGTAAACCTCCCGACTGGCTACAAGTCATGCACTACCTGCACACAGCCAAGCAAGCAAACCCGTGAAGGCACAAGTGGGAAAAAGCAAACAATCAATGCGGAAATGGAAATGCTACTCTAACAGAAATCACGTTTCTTCAACAACCTAGCCGTCCCCGGCAACGGCGCCAAAAACTTGACACGCCTCTACCGTCACACTAGAAAGTGGCCAAGTGTAACCACCTACCAATGCGTAGTATAGCGGGTTAGTTCTAATTGTCAACCCAGGTCCTAGGTGTGATGACTACTCCGTGAAAGTCTTGTTATCTAGCGGTTCAAGTGTAGTGAAGGTTTAGTTAAACTAGCAAGCAAAGCAGCGAAAGTTGTGTTCAAATTGAGAGAGGTCGCCCGGATATGGTTCCCCCTAGACTGCAGTTAAGCCAGGTTGTAATTTACCAAGTTCAAGTTCAATGATAGTTATACTACAGAAGGTTCTTAAACAGTCTGCAGTCTCGACTAAAGGTCTCCAGACCCTCTCAATCTGAGTCCCCAGCGGGCGACTAACCTCCACCGGAGTAAACAGATTGAGGCCCTAACGAACCAAACCTCCTCTACCAAAGTAAAGCCGGTACAGAATAGTGAATTGAATCCTCGACTAAAGTAATCAATTCACTACCTTCAATCAAGGGTGCTCTATCAACCTAGGCAGATATTCTCTTTCTAGGTCAAAGCAGAAATAACCGGAATTTGATCAGGATCATGCCATTCAAGAAATCAAACCTCAATTGAATATAATCATATCATTGAATTCATACTTGGGTTCATACAATTAGACCTAACATACAAATCTATGGTTCTTCATACCCAGGTGAATGGGAAAGTTACTCCATATAGAGAGAAGGGAAATCTAGCTCAGATGCGGAAACCATACTGAGAAGGATGGGATTCTGCTTCTGGCACTCAATCAGCACTTCTCCAAGCTCAAGCCGGGCCCCAATGGTGATGAAGATCGATCTAGGGCGCTTAAAGAATTAGGTTCGTCACTTTCTCTCTCTAGGTATACGCTTTGTCTCTCTAAAATTCGGAACCCCTCAAAAGTTGGCATTCTTTCCCTTAAGAATCAACAGATCGCGATCCCCGGTCGTAATCCCCGGTCGGGGATTTCAGGTGCCCGGCCGGGGATTTTGAAACGCAGCGCAACACCAAGGGGTTAATACCCGATCGTGATCCAGAATACCCGATCGGGTATTTTTACTCTCTCGGGACCCCTCCTGCTTCCTGGCGTCCAAAAAATGGTTTTCCCCGGCCTCTCTTAGCGATTTACCCGGCCGGGTATTATTACTCATGGCCGGGTATGCTGCTCCTCCAGCACCCTTCTACTCAAACGTCCTCCTTTTGACCCGAAACTCGTTTCCTCGCCTTCACGTCAACGCCAAGTCCTGAAATATGACATAAACATACAACCTAGCGTGAAATCGACTTAAAACACGAGAATCGACTCTAAAACGGCTCAAGAATGGAGGTATAAACATGTGTAATTATTGGTGTATCAACCTACCATTTTCCTCCTCCATCACTGCCATCGCCGCCACATCACCGCGACCGCCGACGTCACTCACAAGAATCAAATTGAAGGACCCGCTCCCAATGATAGTGAACCTCATCCCTCCCTTTCTTATGCACGCCACCCGCCGTACATAACCGGAACGATCCATGCCCTGTACTGCGCGATGTGGAGAAAAATCAGCTCAGAGAGATCGAAATGCTCCAGTGGTGGGTTGCACCAGCCGACGTTGTTATTCGGCTCGGCGAAGTTCGGTGGGCAGAGGTTCGTCACTGTGATGGTGATCACGGCGTGGATGCACCACTGGGCGTCTTCAACGCAGGTGATCTCGTAGCAGGCGCTGCAGGCACTGCCATTGTTGAACAGAGTTGTGCTTAGTGCATCTGTCTTCATGTCGTAGCCTTGGTTTTATAGGTTTCCATAGCCGCAAGCTCCCCTGCGAAACACAATGTAAAAGAAAATAAATTAATCCCAGAATTGTGGATTTTGGAAACTAGGGTTTTGAAATTGAGATTTTAATTAAATTTGGGAATTAGGGATTTTATTCAATTTGGTTACCCATTGTGCCCGAGGCATTGCGACTGCCGTAGAAAGTGGCGTCAGCATGAACCCAGCTCCCGGAAACACCAAGGCTTTTCTGGTGGTGCTTCTTAAAAAGCAAGGTTTTTTTTCAAGTGGGCTTTATGGAGCAGTGATTTCTTTGTTTGATGTTTGTTATGCAAAGATGTCTTTCCATGTCCATGGATTTGGCTCAAGTTCGACAGCGCAAGGAGAGCTAGGATTTTGCATAAGAAAGAGAGCGATGAGGTTCATGATCACCAGGAGCAGGTCCTTCAATTTGATTCTTGTGAGTAACGTCGGCGGTAGTGGTGACGTGGCGGCGATGGCGATGATGGAGGAGGAGAAAGGGTAGGTTTAGGTGTTTATAGAATAATAGGAATTAAGTTTTATTTTTATTTTTTAGTAGTTATAAAATGATGTGGAAATTGTAAATGTTTAAATTATATTATTTTGTCAACTATAATAGTTGACTGCCACATCAGCAAAAACTAACGGAGAGTGACCAAATTTGAACTATTGAACTAATCTTAGTGACCATGAATGCAATTAAATATTTGCAGTGACCAAACATGAACATTTTTAGCAAACTCAGTGACCAACCTTGTAATTAACCCAAATCAATACCATATGTCTGTGTATAACCCTTAGCTATCAATCTGGCTCTACGTCTTTCAATTGACCCATGTGTCAGGAATTTGGTCTTAAAGACCCATTTGTTTCCAACAACCTTCTGACCTGGAGGTAAGTCAACTATGTCCCAAGTTTTGTTCTCTTCCAAAGCATCAATCTCTTTGATTGTTTGCATCATTCCAACATCTTTTTTTTTGGTAGAAGAGATGACGCATTGCGTCTAGTGTATTAGATTAATAGAACGTTCTTGGGCAATGCCCATGACATCATAATACAACCAGTTTGTAAGTCCCGGGTTGCACACATCGAAGAGATGTGTGCCATAAGGGGAGTCGTGACCTAAACTAGCAAGATAATCAGCAACAAAGTTTGATCCTCTATATACATGTGAGCTTCTAACCTCCCAATCCCGGTTCAAAAGCCTGCCAAACAAGGCCAACTTGACCGTGCCTGTGTTCATCATCTGCATTGTTCCTAATGATTGAGATTGTTGTCTCCGAGTCGAGATTGAGCTCGACTCTCCTGTAGCCCTTATCCCACGCAATCCTAAGCCCTTCGCTGGCACTTTTCAGTTCAGCACTGGTAATCGAGCAGCTTCCCAAATTACAGATGAAAGCGCAGCTGCATCTGCCAGGTGATCACGAAGAAGACCTCCCGCCGCAGCCTTCCCTGTTCCACTATGAACCGATCCATCACTTTGGAGCTGGATCCACCCAGCTGGTGGTGTTTTCCAGGCAATGTCCCTTGTTCGTATGTCTCTCATTGCTTTCAAAGAATCGCTCTTCACAAATTGGGGCGCATTCCTGATGATGCTGAACCAGGCATTGATTCTGCACATCAGACCTTGTGCAGAGAACTTCTTTCCCTCCATCACTTCCTCGTTTCTCTGCTTCCAGAGATGCCGGCAAACGAGCCCGAAATTGACTCCTTTCTTCTCGTCCATCAGGTTCTTCAGGAGCCATTCTTCCAACGGCAGCTGCAAATTCCTTTCTTTCATTTTGTTCCCAAGCTTGTTCCAAATTTCTGTAGCTCTGCTGCAGCTTCTAAGGATATGCTCGATCGTCTCAGTTTTGTCCTTGCAGTGGTGGCAGTTATCATTCCTAGTGATCTTCCTTCTTTTGCGCTCCTGGTTCGTCATCAGACGATCATGGAACACAACCCAGAAGAAGTGCCTGACCCTGTTGGGTCTTTTCCATTTCCAAATACTCTTCCAGCTGGTTTCATTGGTTTCCTCATCATCTTCATTTGGTGCCGCCAAATAGTATGCCGACTTCAACGAAATCATCCATTTCTTTTAAGCCCCCAGATTGTTTTGTCCTCTCCTAGCTCAGAGTTAGATGGCTCTTTTCCTGCAATCAAGGCCAAAGCATCATCAGGAAGGACTCTTTTCATTCAATCCCAGTCCCACTTACCTTCTTCTGTGGTCCAATCCGCCACTGATGATTCTCTATCTCTGTCAGAAAGGTCTGAAGTCAGATAGTTATCCAGGATGACACCACATTTCAGTCACGGATGAGACCAGAAACTGGTTGTTTCCCCATTTCTGATGCTCCAGCAACAACCACTCTTCATCAGAGGCATTGTCTTGAGTGATTATTCTTTTTCATTCCCACAATGGCCCCATCTTTGTTCTTGAAGTATTTACCCTGAAGAACTTTAACCCAAGGCATATCACCATGGTTTAAAATTTGCCACGCAAGCTTGAACATAAAGGCTCTATTCATACATCTAGCAGACCTCAGACCCAAACCCCCTGATTTTAGTTTTACATATTGTTTCCCAAGAGATCAGGTGGGATTTCCTGCCTCCAACATGGGATCCCCAAATGAAGCCTCAGATCTTTCTATCAATTGCATCACAAACAGTGGCAGGTAAGACAAATGATTGCATAGCATAACTAGGGAGCGCATTCAACACAGATGTGGCAAGGGTGACCCTCCCAGCAAGTGAGAGGGTTCTGGCTTTCCACATGGTCGGTTTATTATCCATTTTCTCAAGGATGAACCTGTAGATATTGTTGTTCAGTCTACCATGCAAGACAAGAACCCCTAAGTATATACCTAGGTCATTAGTGGATTGAATCCCAAGTTTAGTACAGACCTCAGTCATGGTTTTTTTTCTGGACGTTTTTAGAGAATAAAACTCTGGATTTGTCTTTACTAATCATTTCTCCAGAGGCTTGACAGAATCTGTTCAGGCAAGACATGACCACATCATCCTGCTTCGGGCTAGCCTCAGCAAAAAGCACAAGGTCGTCCGCGAAGAACAGGTGAGACAGGTCAGGTCCATTAGGAGAAAGCCTCACAGGTTTCCATTCTTTAATCCTAACCTCTTCTACAATAGTATGAAACATTCTTTCCATACATAAAGTAATGAGATAGGGAGAAATTGGACATCCTTGACGCAATCCTCTTGATGGAGTAAAGCATTAAGTCTCCCCTCCATTCCATAGAACTTGGAACCTTGTCGTAGTCACACATACCATGATAATTCTGATGCATTCCACTGGGAGGTGAGCTTCCACAAGTGTTTCCTCGAGGAAGTCCCAGTTGATTCTATCGTATGCCTTAGCCAGATCTATCTTGAGGAGCATAGATCCTTTCCTTCCTGTCTTTCTAGCCATAGAGTGCACCGTTTCCTACAGGATAACGATGTTGTCAGTAATATGTCTCTTAGGTACAAAGATAGAATGATTAGGGTGGATGAGAACAGGCAGAAGAGGTTTAATCCTGTTGGCTAAACTCTTGGCAATCACTTTGTACACAACGTTACAAAGACTTATAGGTCTAAACTGGCTCATCGACTAAGGAGCTTCAATTTTTGGGATTAAAGCAAGCAGTGTTTCATTAATAGTGCTAATCCTATAAGGTTCTCTAAAGCAGGAGTGGATAAAGCATGTAAGATCAAATTCAATTATGTCCCAGCATTTCTGGTAGAAGATGGCGTGGAAACCATCTTTACCAGGGGCTTTCAACCCATTCATCTCCATGATGATGTCTTTGATCTCCACCTGAGTTGGAATGGAAATCAAGCCAGTCATCAGAGACTCAGCAAGCAAAGGAAAACAAGCAGGAAGGGAGATATAAGAGGAAGAGGTTCCCTGGTAAAGAGGTTCATGTAGAACTCTTTCGACATAGTCTGGAGTCGGTCAGGATCAGTGATCCATTGTCCTTCGTTATCCTTGGGGCCAATGATTCTGTTGTGTCTCCTTATACTAATGGTGCTTGTGTGGAAGTATCTAGAGTTTTGATCACCCTTCACCACCCAGTTGGCTCTCGATTTTTGAATCCAGAGCAGTTCTTCATTCCACAATGTCATATCGAGCTTTTCCCTCGCCTCTTGCTCCTTGTTGAGAGAACTGGTACAGGGATTCCTCTCATTCAGGATTTCCAAGTTTTTGAGATCCCTCAGAAGGTCTTTCTTTTGCTTGAAGATGTTGTCAAACACCTCTTTATTCCAAGTCTTGAGGTTGTCAAATTTTTGCTGTCAGTGTCCAGTTCCGTGCAGGTCAAGATAGGTCTATGATCAGACCTCAGTTTCGGAAGATGCAGATTGAAAGTTGCAGGGCAGCGTTGTTACCACATTGAGTTGCACAGGCTTCTATCCAGTCTTTCATGTAGTGTGGAATTCCTTGTGAACCACGTAAACTTAGGTCCGCAGTATCCTAGTTCGACGAGTCCACAGTCATCAATACACTCCTTAAAAGCCTTGACCTTGGCAGGATTGAAAGCAGCACCGCCTTGTTTCTCAGAAGGTTTGGTAATTGAGTTGAAATCTCCAAGGATCAGCCATGGAGACTGTACATCCTGCTCAATTCTTCTAACCTCCTCCCAAAGATCCTTCCTCTCATGCTCGTTAGGACTGGCATAAACTGCAGTCAGCAGAAAATGAACCATACCTCCACCAACACATTTTAGGTGGACAAACTGTTTATGTTTGTCAACCTGTTCCAGATTCAACTTTGTACTATCCCACATGACCCAAATTCCCCCCACTAAAACCAACAACATAAAAAATCTTCCATGAGTCATACCCCATGGTCTTGATAACATCAATTCCATCAGCCACATCAGGACGAAACATCGGTTTATACTCCATAAATGTCAAGTGAAATTTGGGGTGTCTAGTGCCCCTGCAGTTCCTGGAAAGTACTTTAACCATAAAAAAAATTAATGCACCTTATCTACAAACGATCATCAAGG